GCTATTGGCCTGGACATCTAGAATTTTTCATTTAAAATAGAGCAAGGACTTCTTGGTTATAAACTTTCATTAATTCAAAATACATCAACAACGATAAAGTTGTCGACGGATAAATGTCGACAATAACTATCGAAAATTACACGATGAGCATCTCCAATGGCAATATTCCATCCGTAATTGCCTACAAGCGCAAAAATTCAGCAATAAACTTATCGACAAGATTTTCATCTAAGGACTTTTGTACGACTTTTGTCCATTGGTAGTGACTTTTAGTTCTATAAAATTTGGCTACAATATTGATGAAAAGCTTATCGATATATTAATGTGACTTTCAATAGTGTTTTTCTGCTCAAGAGTGAAAACAATTAAATAAAATTCAAATCAAGCAGATGAAGTAAAAGTTGATGGGAAACTGGAAACACGGACGATATGTGACAAATAGAAATGCTAGATGTACACAATTGGAGTACATCATGGATGACAACCCCCTCACAATGGGGTGGACCCAAAATTTTAAAAATTGCGAGTCCCACCTCATAAGTCAGGGGGCTGTCAAACTGAATTATTCATGTGACAAAACGTAACAAATCTTTCAAAGTTGTACTTCATGTTATTATAGGGCAACATTTTGCTCATGTTCTCAAATTTTTTTAATCCTCGTAATTCACGTTGAAAAATTAAACTAAATAAGATAAATTTATTTATATTTTATACATAGGAGCATTATACTAGTGTCTGTTCCAAGCTCATTCAAGTGGTCAGTCGTTCTCACTTTTTACTGCTCTCTCTCTCTCTCTGTCTAAACTCATTTTCTTGAGCTTCATTTGAATCCCTCATTTTTATGTCTTCTCACTCTTTATTTTGACAAAAATGGCTCAAAAAACGTTGGACAACGAGCTGCCACCGTTAGTGGGGACTCCGCCGGTGGTGGTGGTGGTGGAGCGACGGCACTCCACACATAGCTCACTAGAAACTCTGGTGGTGGTTTTAGCAGTCATTACAATCATAGGAGTTATTGCCGGAATCATTGCGCGGCTCTGTGGTGGAAGGCATTTCGGTGGCTCGGGGGAAAATGACATCGAGGGCTGGATAGAAAGGAAGTGCAGAAGCTGCATTGACGCTGGCGTTCCGGCAGCTGCACCGCCACCGAAGGAAGAAGAACCGAAGCCAGCACCGCCGCCAAAGGAAGAAGACAAGAAGTGAGAATAGCTGTTTCGGCATGTTTGGTAATTTACACCAGACAGTATTATATAAAAAAAAAAAACCGTACTATTCTCTGCAATTTAATTGTGTTTGCCGAATATGTTAGTGAGTTAGATTATGATAAAGAAAATATATATATAGGACTGATTAATTTTTTGAAATTATTTACAATTTTATAATCAAGATTATTAACTTAATTTGCATTTTAATTGTTTTTTCATTTTTTTCTTTTTATATTATTGTCATTAGAAACAAATTAATGCATTAGGGTAGAGTTTATGCATGCTCGATTTCTCTCTCTAAAGAAATGATTTTTTTTTTCTTGTAACCTCCTGCATTGTTAAATTTCGCCATGCTATATTATCGTAATTAATTTTTATATATGAATAATACTATTTAATATTTGTTTAAGGGTCCGTTTGATAGACAAATATGAAAAGAAATTTCGATTTCATGTTAGTTGGAAAATAAAAATTCACCAAACTCATAGAAAATGCAGCTTAAAATGATTGTACATTGAATTTTTATTTCCATTTTTACGTTGCAATCAAACGGTTAAAGTAAAATTCGTTTTCTTTAAATGTAATATTTTTCACGAAATTCGTTGTAATTAAACGGGGCCTACGAAAAAAAAATTCTAACCTTTACTCCTTCAAAGCAATTATTGTTGAAGTTGAATGCTTTACTTTTCATCAAGTGCTTGAGACTAACCGTTGGAGGCACTCTACTTTTTGTCTGCCATTGAAGACTTTATTATAATTAAAATGGTCCTAAAGAGAGGGCCCACTAATTATGAATGAAAATAGAATTTTTATCAATTATTATGAAATGTAAATTATAATATTATTTTTAAGGGAAATGTAGTCCCCAAACTATACACTTTGGAGCACTTGGGTCCGCAGTAAAAAAATTCTTGATTTTCAATTCACAAACTTTGATTTATGTTGCACTTGTGTACTTTAAATAAAAACATTATGTACATAATTTTGGCGATATGCATGTTGGTGATATTCATATATAATTCATCTATTCCATTTCTCTAATAGTGGATTTAGATCAACATTTATTGTTAAAGAAAAAGTCAATTTCTTGAAAATAGGGTATTTGTGTTATATAATAGAAAAGAAAAACAAGACCCAAATTTATTACATATAACAGATACAATAAGGATATCCTTATTAAATCATATATTTTTGTGTAACATATTATCTTCAAGTGTATAAGGAATTAATTGTTAAGGTATATATATCCTACATCGATAAATGATATTGACACATACCACCAATTAATAAAGATTTTGGGTTACTCCTCTTAAAAAAGTTGACCTTTTAAGATAGAACCCCAAATCTTAACATGGTATCAGAGCCCATTATGCTTCAACAAGCGATTTAATCCAGTTAAGACTCTAAAATGAGCACGTGGATTTCAAGATTAGTCTGCTCAAATGAGCCATCATCTTGCGGGAGCGTGTTAAGGGATATATATCCCATTTCGATAAATGATGTTGACACAGACCAATTAATAAAGATTTTGGACTACTCATCTTAAAAATGTTGACCTTTTAAGATGGAACCCCAAATCTTAACATTAATCGTATATTTTTGTGTAACATATATGTACATGACTAAATCCTAGACCTAGAAACAATCCATGTAAGCCCTTGTGACCACTATACATGCTGCTGTCTAGACTTTCTGTGTGTGATATAAGCTTTTGGACGATCCATCGTCTTTATTTCTATGAGATTAATATCGTCCTACTTAAAATGATTGAATTCATTTTGAATTAACGAATTCAAATTGTGAATGTGACTGAGGACAAAGTGGCGAAACAGTTCCCATATTCTCCAAATTTACTATGTTATTGCACGTAGCTTTAACCGATCCTTCTCCTTTGCGCACCAATTTAACATTCTGCAAAACGATCCCTTGACATGGAGAGCTCTTACTGCAGTCCAAATTGATAGCTACATTTGAAGCACTTGTGCCCTTTATATTCTGATACACTACATTTTTCACTTGTACCGTTGAACTCTGAAATAAACAAGAATATTCTATTTTGTAGAGAATAAAGTTGATATGTATGTTACACTTTTTCTTTAAGAACTACATAATAAGTTGGAATTAGATGTGTACTTTCAGTAGTTTAAAAACGAAACATTACTCCCAGTAACGTGAGAGTGAGAATACAGAGTAAATTTACATCGGATTTTTGGCAAGATTTGAATTAGGTTATGTGCAAATTAAGTGGAGTTTTCAAAATTTTTTACCTGCTCTATACATGCTTCAGCTTGATCACAATAGTTTTGGTCTACGATTATGGGATTCTTCACATTTTGCATCTCCACATTCTTAAATTTGATGTTGCTTACGCTGCCAGATCCACCCTACACATATCACTCATGCAATAAGTCGAATTAATTAAAAATTCTTCAAAAATTTGATTTCGTGTTCATGCACGTGCTCGTGTTCATGCTCGCGCTCATGTGCACGTGCTATATGACACGTCTTATGCACACACAAATTGTTACCTGCCATGTCTTAATCCGGACACCATTTGTCGTCCCAGAAAGCTGAGCTCCATTCACGACCACATCTGATACGTAAGCTTCTGAATTGCCAAATCCCAAGCTACCAATACTAACAAGGTTGAAAATTTGAAAAAAGAAATTACTTTCAATATTTAAAATGATTTTATAAGATCAAGTATACGTGTTTTGAATCTAAAAACCTGATGCCATGACCCGGTCCACAAGTGATATCCGTCGCCTGGACATTTTGCGATCCATTAACGATTGAAATGCAGTCGTCACCTTAAGACAACGTCGAATGTAAAATTTCAAATTAAGAAATAAACATTTTTATTGATCAAATTAAATAGAGTCGAGATTACAAGTACTATACCTGTCCCTATTGCACAATTCGAAATTTGGATGTTTTGAGTGTTCGTGACATGCATGCCATCGGTGTTAGGGCTTCCCTCCGGAGCGGATATCGTGAGACTCGAAGCTTGAACATTTGTGCACTTTTGGAAGGACACATGAATTTGTTGGGCATCTTGAATCTTTAGGTCCTTCACTACCAAGTTTTTGCACTTGTAAAAGGTCAAGGCCTGTAATAACTTTAAGGATTAAAAAAAAAAAAAAAAATTCTAACCCACAAATAAATTTATAGTGATTTTGGCAACCATCATGAACCAAAAATATTTTCTACACCTAAATAATTTGTTACACAACAATAAAATCAAACTATTACGAAAGTAACTAAGGAAAGAAAAGACCCTGTTTGAGCCACTTTTTTGTAGAATGAGAATGAAAAATATAATCGTTATTGGGGCCCACACAAGAGATGAAAAATTTGAATTTAAATGTTGATGTGATGGATAACGGTCATATTTTTCATTTTAATGAGATAATAATGTAGATCAAACGGGGGCATAGTCCTTGAACTTCAATTACGATTACAATTAAATTAAAAACTTTTGAATTAATTTTAATTGAGTCCAAAACTTTTTTGAACTACAATAAGCACATGTTTGGACATATTATCCAAGGTCATACAATTAGATCATGTCTAGTCAATTCTAGACCATTCAATCTAATTATCAAACTTTATTTTTTTTCTTAAAAGCAAAAGACTG